CGCAACACGTCAGAGGTCTGCATTTTTATTGTGAAGCTTCTGGATAAATTTGTCAAATTCATATTTTAAGTGTAAACATTCAAAATTATTTTCAAAGTGTCTATTTCTAGAAAGTCAACTACAAGCCGCTATGAACCTGCATTCTTGCACTCTCTTGTATAAGAGTTTTTTACCATCCTCCATTGTCTGGTATCGGCTTACTGTGAGTTTAAGGAAAAAACAAAAACGATGGAAAAACATAACCTAACAATCTTGACACATTGTCATTTTAGTTATCTCCACTATTTCGGAGCGTATAACACCGAATAAAAAGCTGGCGCATGAGGGGCAGGAGAGTTCAAAAATGAGTAGCTCAGGTGCTTGACACTCTAGAGCACAGGAACAGTATTGTCAGGTGTTGGGTAACTCCGAGTAACACAAATGAGGCACTAGAAAGTAGCACTGATAGCATCTTTTTCTACGAATTCAATGATGTATCACATGTTATATTTGTTTTATTGGTTATAAAGAAAAATTGTTTGTTTATTTTCGCGTTGCGAACAAATGCTTGATGGAAGATTATTATGTGATTACTGATAATAAGTGCATATTACATAATGATACGATGGGGTCATTTTTTATAAAATGATGCTAAGGGTCGTATCGTCAGTTGTTCCTACAACTATTGTAGGACGCCTTTATGGCCTCCTTGATTTTCATAGTTTTCTACTGTTCCGTGTCAGCGCTCTGTTACAAATATCTATTTGCATTAAATTGTTCGTGATTCTGACTGATATCATCTGTTTTATCATCCTGAAATTTCCTACAATTCAAAAAGAAAACATAACTTCACAATGAGAGAGCACTGACGCTGACATGGAACAGTAGACACCTATAAATACCACAGCCTTTCTGAAGGTGAGAAAAGACTGAAAATCAAGGAGGTCATAAAGGCATCCTACAATTTATTGTAGGAACGACTGACGATACGGCCCTAAATGTAGTGATATTTAGAATAACGAATACATTTATAACATTATTTTTATTTTATTCACATTAGGTGTTCAAATAGGTTGCCATTATTTTTTAAACATAAAATGAAATTCTAATAGTAGAATTCAAAACATCACATAACATTTCTGGTGTAATCGTACGAAATGCTTCCATTACACATTCTCGTAACTGTTGCTCAGTTTCAACAGTATGGTGATAAACTTTGTTTTTATTAAAACCTCAAACAAAAAGGTCCAGAGGAGTTAAATCCGGAGAACGCACTGGCCAGGTGACTTCACTGGAGGTTCCAATTCACCTTCCGGGAAACCACCAGAAAGATGCTCTCGAACTTGCCTAGACTTATGTGCAGGAGCACCGTCTTATTGAAACCAACAACTATTAACCTGTCAAAGGTAAATTATCCAGATAAGCTTATTGAACTCAAAAAAACCTCTAAATGCTTTTCTAGCCCGCATATTATTTTCAAAGGGAAATTAAAATCTTCACACGTTCGTGTGTACCACTCACAAAAATGCTGGCGCCGTTTGCTATCCCCTTGTCTAAGGCCCGTATCGTCAGTCGTCCCTACAATTGTAGGGCGCCTTTATGGCCTCCTTGATTGTCATAGTTTTCTACTTCTCCGTGTCAGCGCTGTATTTTGAGGGTATGTCACAAACATCTATTTGCATCAAATTGTGCTTGCTTTTGAGTTATATCATGTTTAATCAGCCTGAAATTTCCTACAATTTAAAAAGAAAACATATCTTCACAATAGGAGAGCGCTGACGCTGACACGGGACGAGTGTAATCTAGAAATCTTTGAAGGAGAGAAAAGAGTATTACAATCTAGGAGGCCATAAACGCGCCCTACAATTAAATAAATTTCGAGCCAACTCTAAGAAAATGGACTTACTTTCTGCAGTATATTTAGTATTTTTGTAGCACAAAATGTAGCACGTCAGCATGTCGAACTTTTCTTCATTGCTAAAATGACCGCCTGGCATCTTTGACGATAATAAAGCAATATTAACAATACACAATAATAACAATACTCGGTGACAGGTATTTACGACAAGTCAAGCATTTGTTTGCAATGCCTACGTAAACAATTAAAAAAATCAGAAAAAATGTTTCCTTATAACTAAGAATATGTGATGCATCGTTGAATTCGTATAAAAATGCTATTAGATACAGGGTGTACTTTTTTCGGACTATATTAAAAATTAAGTTGATGATGATTTCTCAAAAACGAAGCGTCGCGCACAAAATTTAAAAACACCATGTAGTGCCTAAAAAGTGCTAATGAAGAAGTTTCATTACTTAGTCAATAAAAGTGATTTGGTCAAATTTTAGTTTTTCCAAATATCTCAGTAAGCCATGGAATGTTTACAAGTGTCTCAACGGCATATGAATACGCCCCAAAGAACGCAACTTTTTCCTAATTTAACCTAAGCTGTATTTCCGACAAGTATTGAGATCCTCATGCATATGATAATTACCGGACACCCTGTAAAATTAAAAACAAGTCAATTGGTTGAAAAAAATCAAATTTGATATATGGGTCAAAATAGGGTCACCAACCATATATGATTGTATTTTATGGAGCCTTTTAACGGACTACATAAGGTGCTCCCTAATTGAATGTTAATATTTAAGGGGCAATTTTTATTACAATTTAAAGGAGAAAACTTCTTATGAATGCATGTCCTAAATGGTTTAACTTTTGAGAGACAGCGTGGTAAAATTTTCAATAATAATATTATGTGCTCGTGTTTGGCAACAACGGATATAATCCGCCTTATCGGTTCATCGCATCGGAAACAAAAAAGCGAAAGAATTTGGGACGATGCTTTTACAATTATTTTATTCAGTTGTATACAGTCAGTGTCAGTCGGTAACGCGTGAGTGAATAGTGGTGTCTGTTGCGTGGCTCAAACGAAATAAAAAATGGCACATGTTTACGAAAATGCTGAACTTGTGGACATGATTCTTACTTACGCGGCATCACGGATTTATGCGGATCGGTTTCCCAATCGAGTGCAACCAACCCCTCGTGCCTTTGTTAATGTAGTACAAAGGGCTCGTGAATCAGGTGACTTAAGACCTCACAGGGGAGGGCATGCCGGTGCTCAAAGACCGCACGATCAAATACAGGTCCGCACTGAAATACTTGTCGGGAGGATACTTTATAAAACAAGGTAACATTTTTTTTTTTATTTTTTTTTATTTTTACACACATATTTTGGTTTATCTTCCTTCTACAACCATTATCTGAAAATTAATGACTCAACTTCAAAGTCACCCTGTATATATATATAACTTTGAAGTTGAGTCATTAATTTTCATATAATGGTTGTAGAAGTAAGATAAACCAAAATATGTGTGTAAAAATAAAAAATAAATTAAAAAAAAAAATTTACCTTGTTTTATAAAGTATCCTCCCGACAAGTATTTCAGTGCGGACCTGTATTTGATCGTGAGTTCTTGGAGCACCTGTGAGGTCTTAAGTCACCTGATTCACGAGCCCGTTGTACTACATTAACAAAGGCACGAGGGGTTGGTTGCACTCGATTGGGAAACCGATCCGCATAAACATGTGCCATTTTTTCTTTCGTTTGAGCCACGCAGCGAACACCACTATTCACTCACGCATTACCGACTGACACATTGACTGAATAAAAACATCGTGATCAGCGTTTCAAATTCTTTCGCTTTTTTGATTCCGATGCGATGAACCGTAAGGCGGATTATATCCGTTGTTGCCAAACACGAGCACATAATATTATTATGCAGACAGGGCGGTACTCAAACTTCTAAAGGGCTATAACTTTGTTACTTTAATTTTACCAGAAAAATGATAAAGGAAAAAACATTTCTTTTGATCAGATCTACTCACTGTTAAAATAAATGACTCAACTTCGAAGTCACCCTGTATATATATATATATATATATTTTGAGACGTGGTCATTGTCGTCTAGACCAGTTAGGTGAAAAATTAAAGCTTCAGCCTTTTGTTGGGTACTTCGACAAAATTTAAGCAAAGAGGACTCTATACTTTTTTTTAATTCTCTCTAGCTTTCAATGGACTTTGCCATCATCATCAGGAGCTGCAATTATGAGAGCTGGATACATGTATCCAGCTCTCACCATATTACTACTACTATTATTCTACTACTACTATTACTATTTCCCTCATCCTATACAAAAACAACAATTAGCAACATCCTCACATACTACTGTAAGTTGATTCAATTTAAATTCATTTTACACTTTTGTTGCTACTGTTATCATTATAATTGCAGCTCCTGATGATGATGGCAAAGTCCATTGAAAGCTAGAGAGAATTAATATATATATATATATATATAACTTGAGACGTGGTCATTGTCGTCTAGACCAGTTAGGTGAAAAATTAAAGCTTCCGCCTTTTGTTGGGTACTTCGACAAATATACATACATACATATATATATATATATATATATATATATATATATATATATATATATATATTACTATCTACAACACAAATTTCATTTGAAAAGTCCTTGTTTAGAGCAATATTTCGTCCCCAGATGGATTCAACCATGGGATCTCGGAAACTGTAAGAGATACGATGTCGCTTAAATGGGGGCGTATTTAGGTAACTATCAAAATGCCGCTCAGAAAGTTTCGTAATTCAAAGTACGAAGAGAGACAGAAAAAAACGAATTTTTCCAAATCCATTTAAATTTTTTCCTGACCTTATTGGTAGTCGGAGTTCAAAATAAATTGCATATTAACATTGCTCACTTTTTCTCCTCTACAAGATGGCATCATTAGAATTTCGATATGACATTTTGTCTCTTTGTCCTCCAGCATCAACTTTATTTAGGCGAATTCATATCTCTTACCATTTTGGAGATTCCAATGGTGAGGGTCGAATTTGAAACTTAGTATAGGGTGAAATTTATTGCATTTTAGGTCCCCTGTCACTACCTGGAAAGAATGGGTCGAATTACGAGTAATGCTGTATAAATGCTAAATTACCTGCTGAAATACTTGAATCTGAATCACTGTTCTTGTTATGTTGTTTCTCAGACTTCTTTTTACTTTTGCCATCAGTGGATAGATTAAACATCTTGTCCATCTCCTCATTAGACATATTGTAGACCTGTGCTTGCTCATAGGCTAAGTAATACAATTTAGGATTAGTTTCAGTAATTTTTATTAGCCTGTTTTTATGGGTCTCAGAATCAATATGATTTCTCACAATTGTATAGTCATACTTTACACATGCTTTCTCCATTGTCTTGCACAGCCTACATGCTAAACTGTAGCCTCTAGGCAGAAAAAACACCTGATGAGCCTGATAGTTGCAATCAAAATTTAACCACAGTTCATGGTATCTTCTCAATGCGTCAATATTTTGTTCAGAAAAAGAAAGGCCGAGATGTTTCTGACCCATTACATGATCTAAAATGGCGGCCTTGGAAATTCTAGTTCTTGAATTGATATTAACACCGCATAATAAGCAAACAACTCTAGAACCACTAATTCTTTGAATTGTCGGATCTTTGCACCTATCAATTTTTTGAACAGCTTTTTCAAGTCCTTGAGGATAAAGTTTTGATGATATAGTTTCGTCATAATGTAAATCAAAATTAAATCTGAAGCTGTTAACATCATTATCAGGACCATTTTCATCTAATACACCAGATGAACCTACATCATTCATGTCAATCTCCATATCAACCACAGTGGTATCAACATGTATTTCACTGTCAGAAAGATTGCTCTTTTCCTCTTCGATGTCAGTCATATTTTCGATATTACTGTCATTTAAAGACAACTCAGGTCCTTCAGTTTTAAATTCAGTGGAGTAAGTCAAAGCTTCACAATACATATCTTCAAAATGACTATGACACTGAAGATATTCCCACACATTTTTCTTATCATCAGTGTATATTATAACATCACATTTACTACACTTATAGTAATTAGATATAAACATTTGTTTCCCTTCATTTTCCTTTAATATCTCTGTTATTTGTTTTTTGATATCCCTCAAAATAAAATCCAATTCAACACAGTCCACTTCCTTTACAGTTGACATAGACATTCTACAGGATATTAATAGGTTTCGAAATACTTCAGATACTTTTTTTGCTTCAGCAAGGTTGAATCTCGGTACCCCCAATAACCCATTTTCCAGGAGGCTAATAGCATTATCTGTGGACAGCATCATGTATTCCTGAAACAACTTTAAGCAAAAAAAAATATAATACAAAAAGGCCGAGGTAAACAGATAAGATTAGAATGATTAATATTAATCTCTGGAACCGTTAGTGTTATAATGTTGCAGGTTTAATGAGGAAAATGGTTGCACGATTCAATGGTCCTTTACATTAATAGTTTACAGGATTCAGCTATCATTTTCTAATAACCATTTGACAAAAGTAACGCTGCCAAAAAAATTTGAAATAAGATAAATTGTGGATAAAAGTGAACAAAAAACGTGTTAAATGATATTAGACAGAATAAAAAATATATTTGGAATATTTAATAAGTTGTTAAAAACAAAAATCGACAAAATTAATTTGCTATAAATTACGTTAAATCAAAATAAAATGTGCAAATATGTAATATTCATTTTAAATTTTCTTATTAATTACAACATTGGAACTCTAACTGTTCCAGGGATCGTAACACTATTCCATCTTTATCTTGGACAACCTCAATTGTCTGATTTTTAGTTGTGATGTGATGCTGGAAAGTCAAAAATCCAAAACAACACAGTCATTGTACATTCACAGAGTTCATTTAGTTTGACAGAAAAGGACAAGCTATGTTGAACAGTATCAATTTGTACACGACCTGTGTATATGCAAAGCACAAAAATGATATTTCTGGAAAGTATGGTCTATAGCTGTCAAAAGGCAAGATAAGCCATATTTCACGTGAATATTACTTTGACTCCTCTCTTTTTTCCAAAATATATCATTTTCCCATCTCCAATAAGCTATGTTTCATGAAGGCACATGGTTTTTGTGGGTAATCATGAGCCTTAGAATTTAATGACTGTTTCAATCCTCTACTTACATAAGACTATTCATGTCTGAAATGGGTAGTTCTAAGATACAGGGTGGCCCAACGAAAAGGTCGCACCCCCATTTGTTGGCTCTCCTAGTATATTTTGGGAAAAACGCTCGAACACGTCAATTTTGATTTCATGAGGGACGTCTTTTCATCAATAGCCGTACATTACAGGCTGATCCAAAAATAAGATCTCGCATTACACTTTAGATTTTTAAATGGAAACCCACAATTTTTTCTTTAATTTTCAGATTTTTCCATCAGGTTTCTACTAACTTTTGTATAATGAAGTTTATACCTATCTTCAATCATTGTAAAGCTATTTGAGTTTATAATAAAATTCGACTAACTTAACTTAATACTGATAATAATGGAATGCACAGCAAAAAATAATAATCATGGATACCAGCAAGAACATTTTTAGCAGCAGTCAGTGTCATCATATGTCATAGAAGAACTTTGTCTTTCATTTCAAATTGTTAGTTACATACCAAGTGGTGATAAATATTGAACAATGGCTTACTCAATTCAAGAAAGGGTAGAAATAACAAAACTGTATTACTAAAATGGGAGCATTGCAAGACCTACTGCCCGGTTGTTTAATGAGTTACATCCAGACAAAAATATTAACGATAAGTATGTGGCTAATAATACTAATCTTTATTGAAGTTATCATCTTTCAATGACATAGAATGCGTCAAACGCAAAGACTAACAAAAAGTAGTTATATGCAATTCAAATTCCGATTGTTTTACAAAATAAACGTTTTATATATGTAAATACAAACATGAAAGGAATTAAAGGAATCAACAATAAATAATAACACACACTTCAGCACACTGAACAGATGTTATGTATAACAAGATAAAATCATATACATAACAAACATTATCTAAAAATTATTGGTGTCACATAGAATTTCATTAACGGAATAATACGCTTTTTTAAGAAGCATTTTTTTATTTTTTACTTGTATAAATAGGTAAGTTATTGTGGAGTTAGGATCATTTTCCGTTTTGGCAAGCCTGTGAGCAGAGAATTGCAGTGTTAAAGCATTGCTAGTATTACAGCTAATTCGGTGCATCGCGGACCGCCCGCGCACGCGTCCGTCGCGGACGAATTCGTCGTTTAGTTCTATGCGGACCCTGATCCAGAGTGGTACAGTCACAATTATGGATAAAAAAATTAATTCGGTGGTTGCTGCCAGTATACTTCGTCCTTACGCGCGTACAAAACTGACACATAAAAAAATATCCAATTATATAGAATCGAGTTTTGGTATATTGACAAACAAATTTGCAATTTTTCAAAGGCCTATCAATGTATCAACATCATTTGCATAAATTTTGGTCAAAGCCAGCTGCATTTCACACAATTTCATTAGAGTGCGCAATGGGTATAAGGAAGAAGATGCTATGATTATAGCTGGATTAACAGATTACAATGCATATACGAATAGCTTTACCAGGACCGTCAACACCATAAGAGATCAATTTGAAAATTACTTTATCACAAATGAAGGGTCTGTACCTTGGCAAAACAATTATATTTATTTAATAAATACATCGACTTGTCAACCTATTACTTACCTATTTGTTTTTTTTTTCTTAACCCGAACTACCATCGTAATTTGAATAAACAGTTTCGCAAACTTCTTCCCACGCCTTTAGTTTCGCATCTTTAATATAAATTGTCGCGAAGATTCTACAGACCGCGTTGCACTGAACCGACTGTTCAAGACTAGTACATTTTATCGTCCGCCGCGGATATCCGCTTAGGTGTCCGTGACGCACTGAACGAGGCCTTTTAGTTGTGATTATCGGTTAGACTGCGAAAGCTTGTCAAATTTGATTTGACATGTATCAATAGTTCAAAAATATAGATACATGTTGAGGTTAAAAGTCAATCTCTTTAAAAATCTCTCTACAACTACTCAACTTGTTTACCCCTGCCATTAATCTTATAATCCCCTTTTGAATAATAAAAACCTTATTTGCTAGATAAGATGCCCCCAAGCTATTATACCATAAGTTATAGCTGATTGAACCTAGGGAAAGTAGTACATTAATAGTAGGGGTCTATCAACTATAAACCTGAGTATTGATGTAATACCCACACTGGAATGATTTTCTTACAAAGGCGATCTATGTGATGGTCCCAACTACAATTGTAAGACAGATGAAGTCTGATCTGGTTCTAATGTATGCATGAAACAAACAATGACTTTTCTCTGTTCATTGCCAGGCCATTATCAACAAACCACTCACTAAATCGTGTAAATTCAATGGTAGTGGATGCAGCTATGGTTGGCACTGTTTCATTTACTCTACTAAGAGAGACGTATCATCTGCATTCATAACAAAGTTGTTGCACAAAGTGATATTTGAATGTCAGCAATTTTACTACAGTCAATGATCAGATTATTATTAACACTTAACTCGAGCTCACATTATATATTTCTGTCCAACTTGATGATTTTCCAAACAGTTCATAATTTATTGTTAGTACCGATAATCTTGGTGGTAGAGCTTTTTTGCTTTACTTAATAACTTTCTGTGCACAAAATAACAAGATCTGTGGTTTTACCAAGAGGCAATAACATTCTCAATGCCTTTTGCAGAGATCTATGATAGAGATCTATGATATTTTTAGTGTTTAACATTACTACGATATGGTCATCCTTACCTAGTAGCATCGCTAGCTGGAACAATGGCTTGACTAGATCACAAAATTCAATGTCAGGCTTCACAATTAAAATATGTTATCAAAAACTCAAACTCTTTCTCAATTGAAATATGAGAAATGTTATCAAAATGGGCATCTTTCATAACATAAATTCTAACAAAACCTTGATTAAAAAGCTTTCTGCAGAAAAAGTTTGCTATCGTGAAATTTTCTAGCAAGAAGATCGACCAGTTAGAAATGAAGCTGCAGAAATAGCAGTTTTGGGACACATAACACTTGACAACACCCAAAGCACTCTTGGACTGGCAACTTCCTCAGGATTTACACACTCAACAGTACAAAGAAAGATAATAAATTTCACCCATACAAGACAAAACTTGTCCATGAGCTTAATGTAGTCGATTTTGGTAGAAGGTTGGAGTTTGCAAATTATTGTCCCAATATGTAATCAACAATAATAATAATATTTGTTTCTCAAATGAGTGTATGTTCTATTTCCACACACACACACACACATATATATATATATATATACTACTATATACTACTGCTCACGTATATAATTGTCGGTATTGGAGTGACTCAAATCCACATTTCGTTTAAAATGTACACTCGCAATATCGTGAAAAATAAATGTGGGTTCCCAAAATATACCAGGAGTCACAAATGGGTGTACGACCTTTTCGTTGGCCCACCCTGAATATTATGTTCCTGTCGCATCTGTATAATCTGTGGCATGCTTGTTAGTACTTATTCTGATGGATAAAATACGGTAAGTCTATAAACAGGTACTAGATATATCGTCGGTGCTACCTACCTATTTTGTTTTATGATGATGCTAGAGTAACAGTCTAGAAATACTTGTTTCAAAAGCTCTTAGAACCTGGCGGCCAGGGTGAACAGCTAAAAACAATAAAAACCATTCAAAAACTAAAAACTCAAATTCCAAATCTCTAAACGCATAACACGGATAGCATCACAAAAGATAACAGAAAGGATAACACGATAACAGACACAGAGAGATAAAATTGGGTTAGGAGTAGAGATGGCAACGATATATCGATTATTTTTATATATCGATATTTTTTAAAAATATATCGATATATTTGTTTGAATATATCGATATTTTCATTCAATATATCGTTTTTTTTCATATTCCTTTATCTTATCAGTACTTCCATGATATGTCAACGATTCAAATCAAATAGGCTCGATTTGTTGTTTGAACGTGCTTTATGCACTTCGAGCGATGATCCGAACACGCTCCATTGTGTTACGCAGTACGCCAAATGCGGCTGTCATGTGTCATGACTTTAGTGTCAAAAGTCAATGTCAACATTTTCAATAAGGATTTTTTCGCGAGTCACGAATCAAATCCAAGCGAATAACCATACTTTCTGTGTTGTGTGCCGCGGTTATAATATGGTTCAAGATGACACACGGGTTGATGACGTCAGTTACACGAAGCGCTTGAACGCGTTGGTTTTAACCGCGGTTTTGTTGCAGGTTGTTTATTTTAGAAAAGCGCGTATATAATCTCTGATTATTTTTATTATCACTTAATAATCGGTGCTTTTTCGTCTACAACTGTATATGGAAAGTTTAAATAAGAAACCTTTCATAATATTCATGGGAGAAATGTTTTTTCAGATTTTTTTTAATTTTTGGAACCATGGCTTTGTAGCTATGATAACTTTCAATTCTCTAAATTTTTCCGCATGTCAAAGAAAACATTTATTGATTCAGCAGAAATGATGAAAAAAGAAATTAGCAAAACCGTATACAGGTGGATATCATCTAGTGAGTTTATATGGCCATATTTTAATATTCTTGTGGTATATGGCTACACAGGATACTTTGTTAAACATAGGAACTACATTTAAAGTGTCCCCAACAACAATAATGAGTATAACTAATAAGGTGCTCCACTTTATGGTAAAACTGAAGTCAGCCTATATCATTTTTCTCAAAAATGAAGCTGAAGTGCAATAACAATATCCAATACCCGGCAAAATTCTAACTTGTCACATTTCAAATAATAACCAGAAATATAAAACTACTCTTGAGTTGGGTAAATACCACAATTTTGCGGTGATAACTATAACATATAACAGCTGATTCGTGACGTCACGGATCTTATAACCAAACTGATAACTACACTCGCTTGAACGGATTGGTAAATACCAACCCAAAATGGTAAATACCATTTCCATTTTGTTATCCGCCTGAATTTGATTACGGTGTAGCACAGTGCACTACCGGGAACCGATACTCAAATTTCCGCGAAGAACGGGAATAGGGGAAGACGGATGTGACGTCGTCCGAATGTCAAAAGATGACGTGGTACGGGTACCCGCCTAGCGTATGTGAGGTACTAGCGGTTGACGAACGCCCTGTAAGTAGGGTTTTGACAACATTGTCACATTTGCTATAAGTTTTCAGAGATTTGTTGGCGAGAAAAAGTTTTTAAAAGATGGAAGTTGACCCAGGAGGATCAACAGACGACGCAGTTCCACATACTATGAGGAAAGAGCTGAGCGGTGGCGGAAACCAAGCAAAATCAGAAAACATGAGCTCACTGACGCAGGTGTCATCGGAGCAGAAAACGAACAAAAAACTGATGCTGATTATAGACGACCAGGCGAGGCAAATTCGAGACCTAATGGAGACCATCAAGGACCAGACAGCCAAAATTGACAGCCTGACCGCCCAGGTAACCATATTACTAAATTCAAAAGAATCCCCTAAAGAACAGACAAAGACCCTAAAAAGACCACTGAGAAACGTTACTGATGATCATCTCACATCCACAGACGAAGACGTACAGACCGAAGGATTTGTAAAAGCAAAATCAAGAAGGAGGAAATGCGACAAGGCTGATCGATCAACCCAAGACTTTCCTCCTACTCCGAATACAGGATCAATTCCATTTCACACCTCCCCCAATTCATCAAATCGAACCACTATTAATGCTTCTACGACCAAGCCAGGGCCCACGTTTTCTACCTGTCAGGTGACTCCGTCAGCCGATGTTACTTCTCCTCCGTCATCTCGTCCAACCGTCGTGGCATCAACACAACCCTCACGACAAGGGCGCATAACCCCGATCGTCTTACGCGACGGGACGAGATGGCGTACTTTAAATTTCAAGTTTATTTCCCTAGGTATTAAAATAGATCGCGCGGTTGCCGTTGATGCGGGAATAAGGATTATTCCTAAATCCGAGGACGACTACCGTAAGATCGTTCGCCTATTCCGAGAGGAAGAAGTGCCCCATCACACTTTTCCTCGCCCTTCGGAACGGAACATCCATGCAGTGGTTCGAGGAGTTCCCGTCAACTTTTCGGATACTGAGATTAAGGGAGAACTGGAGCATCATTCGATTGAAGCGCAGCGGCGGCGCGCCCATGCCTTTGGTCGTGATACTGTTCAAGACTGAAAAGTCTCAGCAAGTGTTCAACGAACACGAACTGCTGGGACTGGCCATTTGAGTTGAGGTTCAGGAAAAACACCAGACTCATTGGGCAGTGTCACCGCTGCCAAAAGTATGGGCATGCGCAGTCATATTGCACTGCACCGCCCAAATGCTTAAAATGTGCAAAGGACCACATGACGCATTTGTGCCCCCTCACAGAAGAGGAAGAACTCAAGTGCGCGAACTGTGGAGAGGGACATCCCGCAAATAGCCGGACTTGCAAATTCACTCCAAGGAGGAACTTGCAAGTTATAGCGCAAAGGCGCAATATATCATACGCGGACGCAGCTCGGGAGGCAACCTTGCCTGCCCCCTCTGCCCAACCTCCCTTGAGCACGCAAAATGTGGACCTGGCAACCGCGCTAAGGTCCTTACAACAAATAATAAGCCCACTGATTAGCGCTACCCAAGCGTTGCAGGCGATATTTCCTGTAAATGTCTAGGTACAATAGTAGACAGCCTGCATTCGTCAAAATTCTTTTTTGGAATTGTTTGGGCATGAGGGATATTCCCAAAAAACGGGATTTTCATCAAGCTCTTTTGGATGAAGGTATAGACGTGGCCTTGCTGCAGGAAACGTTGCTTAATCCGGGAGATCGTTTAGCTCTCCCGAATTATAATATTATCCGAGGTGACAGATTGAATGGTCGAGGCGGCGGTTTAGCAGTGTTGATTAAGCGCGGTATAGACTATTATAGAAGCACTAATGCGGAGATGCATAGCATCGAAGCAGCTTCTGTGGTGGTCAATATGGCGGGAGGTGTCTCGTTGAAGATCACATCGGTGTATGTCAGGTGTGGTGCCAGGCTGCAAGAGGCGGATCTGGAGGTCCTTTTGGACTACTCGGGTCCGCTTATTGTGGCAGGGGATTTCAACTGCAAACATCGAGCATGGAATTCTAGGTTGAATTTCACTAGTGGGGTTCGATTGTACAACCAGGTGATGCAAAATGGGTACCTTATACATAGCACTGAAGAGCCGAAATATCATCCATTCAACCACCTTCAGGCACCAGATGTCATCGATTTCGCGATATCTAAAAACTGTAGATACAGTATCTCTTCTCGAATCTTGTATGATATCTCTAGTGACCATCTACCTGTTGTCTTGGATGTGGGCAATGAGCAACCTTCTGAGGAGGCAGCTCCTCCAAGGAAACGCATTAATTGGGACCTATACAAGTTGCTCCTTAGAGAGTTTCCCAATATCCCAATTATAGATGATGAGTCTGGAATAGATGCCGCTCAAGCGGAGTGGACAAGTTTCATTCAAGCAGCTCTACACCGTGCAGCTGTATTTCCTGTACAACGACACGGCAGACCTTTTTTGTCTGCGTACATTCGCCAGAAAATCCCTGACAAAAGAGCCGCTATTAAGCAAACAAAAAGGTCTTGTCATCCTGATGACATTCGTAGGGCTACAAATTTTGTCCATGAAGTGAGAAACGCACTGCACGAACTCCGCAACGAGCAATGGAGCGACTTTCTGGCGGGAATGCTTGATTCAAGTATTCCTCTCCGGAGGGTCGCAAAGTCACTCAGAAACGGAAAGCGAGAACAACTCCCACACATCCACGGTCCTGAAGGCATAGTCTTCAGAACGGAGGATAAGGTCGAGGTTTTCGCTGATGCCATGAAAAAACAGTTCTCTCCCAACTATGATCTCGATAATGACCTCGACGAGGAACAGCACATCGTACGATCCGTCAGGAGATATTTTAGAGCCAACGGCGTTAGCGGAGGCACTGAATCCTCTTCAGATGACTCTTCTTCAGAAGATTCGTCTGAGGCTCCACATAGCACATTAGCGGAACCCTCCGAGTTTCCACATTGCACACCAGCGGAGTTACTAAGTCATATTAAAGACCTCAAGGTGCGTAAAGCACCTGGGGAGGATCAAATCACCAACAAGGCGTTGAAGCTGCTCTCGCCGAAAGCCCTGACATACTTGGTGACAATAATCAATGCGACGCTCAAAATCCAGTACTTCCCTGCTGGGTGGAAGACTGCTGAGGTCATCATGATTCCAAAGAAGGTGGGTTCGATATTTCCTCAGGATTACCGTCCCATAAGTCTGCTGTCAGCTCTTTCTAAGCTCGCCGAAAAGGTGATTTATCGTCACCTTGAGAATTTTTCGTCAAATCACCATGTGATTCCTGACGTCCAATTCGGTTTTCGGTCCGAGCATAGCACCGAGCTACAGGCAGTCAGGCTGGTGGAGCATGTAACCAGAGGGTTCACCCTCAGCATGAGTACTGGCATCTTGCTTTTGGATGTCTCAAAAGCCTTTGACAATGTGTGGCACGCAGGCCTCCTCTATAAACTAATCCAAAAGGGTTTTCCTTTTTGGCTTCTAAAATTACTGAAATCCTTTCTTGAAGGAAGGAAGTTTCGGATCAAAATTAACAATGTTTTGTCAACAACACGGCCAGTACGGGCCGGTGTTCCTCAGGGTTCGGTCCTAGGACCAATTCTTTATTCGCTTTTCATCCATGATGTCCCCTCCCCCAGCAACTGTGAAGTCTACCTCTATGCTGACGACACTGCACTTGTCGCCCAGTCGTGTACTGGTGATCTGGTTCACGATGGGTTGCAGAATGCGGTGGACGAAGTTCTAGAGCGGGCGGAACGGTAACTGATAAAAATTAATCATTCGAAAACGCAGGCTATTTATTGTACCAAAAAACGTCGCGGCCCCCAAGCAGAGGTTTCTGTAGACGGAAATCGTGTACCATGGACAAATTCTGCCAAGTATCTCGGTGTCACAATTGATAAAGGCATGACCTAGCAGAAACATACAGCATCCAT